TAAGTCTGCTCACCTAAGAGTGCCAAGAGTCTAAGCAGGCAACAAGGAAGTGGAGTAGACCTGATGACTAAGACCTATCTACAGTATAGGTACCTGTGGATGATCCTAAGAGACCAAGTCTGAAGAGACAGTCCCAGGCAGAGTAGGCCTTATATTTATACCTCTGTGGTGGAACCTGCTAGAACATCTTGCTTACTCAGCCTAGTCAGGTGATCAGGTCATATGACCAAGGATGAGGTCATATGAGGTCATGCACAGCCATGCACAGCAGGTCACCTGACCATCCAATCCTTCCAGCAGGTTCCAGCACATGCCAAGGTATACCAGCTACTTCCATGTCATAAAGGCTTAGTCATGTCTCTTGACCAACCAATGAGCTGGTGCCCTGACAGCCTCTACTCAGCATCCCTAGGGGAAAAGAGTGAAGAGGAGGATGAAGCTCCCATTGTCTGTTGAGTTGGTGTCCCCTGCAGACTGTGGCCCCAGTGCAAATAATCCAGCAAAGATGAAGCAGAAGGACCTTGATCTTGAAGAGATTTCATTCAAGCCATATCTGCAGGCACATTAATATCACAACAAGGGCCATGATGAACATTCATCAGAGTTCCAGTCACAGGTGCATATGCAGCTGTACACCTGCATGAAATACAAAGTGGGCAACCAGATGCCCTGCCTCAGCATTGGCCACAAGCCTGATGACCAAACCCTCCTCTGGCCTGACTTCAGTCAGGACATCAACACTGCCCCCAACTGGTTGCTTCAAATACATGCGGCTATGTTGGTTCTGGAGCAGGAGAGGGTGAGATATCAAGATTCCATCTGACATGCCAACACATCACTCACCACTCACAGGATCACCCTGGTAATGTGCCCAAACAGTACCAAGAAAAGTGGGTCATGTCAGCTGTGCTAATGGAGCTTGCGCATGCCACTTGGCCCCACTTGAAGCAGGTCTTCTTGAATCAGCACAATGCAGAGAAGGATGGTGGGAGGGAGCAGAGGAAGAAGAAAAGCTTGGTCAGCACATGGAGAAACACAGAACAGTGTGAGCCCATCATCAGTGGTGTGTCCTGGCTGGACAAACAAGGTACTTACTCTTCTCATAGCACATGACCCAGATGTGTGGTGCCATCACTGACTTCTGTATCAAGCACAATCTTGACCACATTGCTCTTCCAGCCACACTTGTTTATGATGACTGGGTGGGTGAAGAGTGGTCCTGTGACAAAGATGAGGAGGGAACTAAGAACCTGGAATGGTGAGAAAGGTTGTACAGTACTGGCAAGTTGACCATCAAGGAGAGGGATGAGTTACCCTTTGCTGCACTGGAGCTTAAGCACCCAGAGTGGATGCATATTGAAGTCAGTCAGCATGCTCCTATCTTCATCAACCCAAGAACTTACCAAGTGCTGCAGGTATGGGAGTGGTACCAGAGTGTCCACACTAGGTACATGAGGAAGGTTGCAGTCAATGGAAAGCCTGGCTGCAGAGCTGGCAAGCACATCAACCTGGGCCACACCTCCTCCCTCATGCTGAAGGTCAAGCCATTCAACTCCATGCTTGATAGCAACTGGCTTCAAACAGACTTACCCAGGTGCCCAGATTGCATTCACCACCCAGGGCTGCCTGCTGGACTCTCACTGGGCATCATGCAGCTTATAAGGCCATCGATTGAACCTATGATGTGATGGAATCAGATGACAAAGATCAGTACTGTGGGCAGCCAGGAATGGGGTGGACTCACAAAGTATCATACACCATTACTGGTACAAAGCTCTACTGTGTGGCGTACTCATCATTAGCATTCATATCTTCTAAGACAGCAGTAGTACTCACTTGTTCCTAACTATAATGACTGTCCATCCTGTAGCCAGACTAGGTCAGAACCAGTCAAATGGACTTTGCATACATGCTTACCTTGCTCATTCCTGTTGTGACCCAAATCTTTGTCTCCCTGATACTCATCACACAGCGTGCTATGGTTCCCCCAATGTCCTCCACTAGAATGAGGGGATGTGGTTCCCAATCCCTGGTTCCCACATACTTGCCATACTCCCAGAAGTTGACCTCCAGCTTGGGACTGAGAGTACATCAGTGATGTGTTTGTGTTGGACACCAAGAAGACTTACTAGTTGCAATAAATGTTCACATGTTTGGGGGTCTCTAGCAAAGGAACCAGCCACGCAACTTCTGCAAAGGTATGAGGTTGTTCAACACCTCCCTGGTGATGCAAGAAGACAGCCATCAGCTTGCCAACCCACTGCAGACCCACTGATACTCAATGGAGGATGAGGCAGTCCAACTTGCTGTGCTTGTCATGGCACACAGTGACAATATGCTTACCTTGATGAAGAATTTGATTGAAGAACATCACCCTGTTGGCAAGGAAGATGCTGCCCCATGGTGCAGTTGCATCAGGGCTATAACAAAGTTTGATATTGGGATGATGCCAAGAATACCAGTCAATGAGAGATGTCTGAAGATGGTTGTCCAGAAATTCCACCTTGCTGGACCCATGGGGCACACAGAGTCCAGTGGGTCATTCTTCCCGCTGCATTGCAGCCTGGTGTTGTGCTTCTGCAGTGAGCACTGAGAAAGTACCAACCCATGCTATGTTGTGGGCATGCTTCTGCAGATGAGAGGCAAAGAAGCAAGCAAGTGGGTCATTATGTTGGTTGGCCAGTACTGAGCACTATGAAAGAGTAAGTGATCATCAACACCAAGTGAGCATCCTAGCTTACCATACAAGTCAAGCTGATCTCTCTTTTGAACTCTCAGGCAAAGGTAACCTCCAATAGCCCACCCTTGTGACCACTTGTATTAGTCAACTTCAGAACCTTGTTTAACCACTCAAACAAGAATGTCCAGAATCCATGGACTGGGCCAAACTGATGAATTTGGGCCAGCATGTGAGTAACCCAGTGAAACATCAGCATTACATTGGAGGTGCCATAGATCTGCTGCATTGGTAATGTGTTTGTGTCAGACAATATGAAATCTCACTTTAATAAACTCCTCAAAAAAGTCCAAGTATAATCTGGAGGTGTGTTTGATGTCTCATTCTGTTATCTCTCTTCTCATGTAGATCTTGAGGACTGTTGCAAGCTTGAGATAATTCTGGGTGGCGTCAGTGTGGACTTGTGGGCAAGGCAGAGATGACAGTTGCTCCTGATCAGCAATGGGCTCTTGTGGCCTCTGCTTCTCATGCTTCTGACACACCTCTTGCAGGCTGTCCTCATGTGCCTTGAGGAGCACAGATGGGAGCTGGAGAGCTGTCAGGGCACCAGCTCATTGGTTGGTCAAGAGACATGACTAAGCCTTTATGACATGGAAGTAGCTGGTATACCTTGGCATGTGCTGGAACCTGCTGGAAGGATTGGATGGTCAGGTGACCTGCTGTGCATGGCTGTGCATGACCTCATATGACCTCATCCTTGGTCATATGACCTGATCACCTGACTAGGCTGAGTAAGCAAGATGTTCTAGCAGGTTCCACC